TGTAGGTATTAGCTCGGGTGTGAGGCGATCCAACTTGAGGAACTGCCGGTAGTATTCTGTGATTGGCGTTGCTCCTTGTTTTAGATGGAGGAACTCTTCGTATATGGTTGTTCTTATGTGACTAGGGTAGAATCGTTCCCATAATCGTGCCTTTAGGGTCTTCCAGTTGAATCCCGGATTTTGTTCGCAACTGGGTTTCTCGTGGACCCACCAGAGGTCGGCTTCGTGTCTGAAGTAGAAGGAGGCTGTTTCTACTCGGTGATCTTCTGGGCATTCTACTGTTCCGAATATATTGTCAAAAGTTCTGATCCATTCTTCGAGAATTGTGGGGTCTTCATCCCCTGAGAAGGTAGGCGGTTGATGTTATGAGATTTGGTGGTGGACTTCCGAGTTTCTATTTGGCGGTGGTGGTTGGAGGACTGTGTTGCTTAATGTCTGGGCAACTTGGGCCAGATGCTGCAGATTCTGAATCAAGGATTCATGTGCGGGAGTCTCGGTGCTTTTGCCTGTTTCCTTGTTGGTGCCATCCTGGGGGTTTACAGGCCGATATTATTTTGCATCCTTACCCTGATGCTATGAGTGCAGGGAAAGTTTTTTTTTTTTAAGTTAAGTGTGAATTAGAGTGAGGGGAAGATTAGGGGGCTCACAATCTCACTGAGCGTCCTATGATTCCTAAATCCTATGTTCCTGAATACCTAGAGTTTTAAGCCTAATGTCTTAATGTTTGGTCTAGAGAGTCTTATCCTAGGGTCAGACTTAGGCTCTGATACCATCTGTAACACCCCAGATTTTTGAAACTTTTTAAAACTTATATAATAAAGGAAATATTACTATTAATACCGAAATAGAGCATACTAAACATCAGAGTTTGGGGTGCTATGCCACATCTGAGCTGGAGAACTCAGATGCACAGGCTATACTAACTAAATATCCTCGAGCAATGTCAATACATCATCATGGCACGCAGGCCGAAAGGAAAACTATCTATCTACGCTTCGGTTCTCTAGCGCGCTCCAGAGTATACTCATTTGCGCCTGAAAGCCAAATATATCTGTTCAGCGAATAATGCTTGTAACCCACTCTAGCGCGTTAAAATACAATATAGGTAAATATATATACATAGATATAGGAAAACCATTTGAAGTAGGAAGATATATACTTAAGAGACTCTAGCTTTAAAACCAGGATTATACTCGACAGATAGGGATAAGCACATTCAACAACGATAATCAATCATATAGAGACAACATCATAAATACACATCTCTAAGGTCACAGTTCACTTTCATATCATTCACATCATCATTCAATCAATATCCTTGTCACACAAGCACACTTTGGTGGCGCCACGGGACCAAATCGCATGCCCCAAACATGAGGGTTAGCACATATAGCGCTAACACGGCCCCGCAGCACCCTACCTCATAACGCAGCATGAAGTAATTGACCGCAGCCAATTGTATAGACCGTCGATAGTTTCAACGGCGGATCACAGCCCTACACACCGCTGACGCGTTCAGTCGGTGGACTGTGATCCTCTTTTGGGGACTGCGACCTTACACACCGCTTGACGAGCTCAGTCGGTGGGTCGTAGCTGATCATAGCCCTACACACCGCCTGAGGGACTATTTTGGTGGACTATGATCTTTGGGGACTACGACCCTACACACCGCTGGCACATACACTCGGTGGATCGCAGCCGACCATAGCCCTACACACTGCCTAACAACTCATTCGGTGGACTATGCCCTTCCTCGGGCTAGTGGCCCTACACACCGCCTGACGCGTCCAGTCGGTGGACCACAGCACACGAGGTCCATGAGGTGGACCGCAGCCCTAGAAGTAAGTCACTGACCGCAGCCAGGATAATGAACCGCAGCTCATGAGTAACCAGTTTGACCGCAGCCAAGAGTCATACACATATATCACGTAGCAAGCACATGCAACCCACATTAACACATAGGGAGGGGGAAAACGTATAAATAAAATATGCGTGATTATCCACATACTAAGAATAGTCCTAAGGCACTCATACATCATCCTCCTAGGCCAATGGGTTACCGATTCAACTAGCATGCAATACACGAGACTCTTTTATCCTACGAACGGTACCCGAACATCAAACTAGACTTATGCACGACAAACGGAGTCCGTTTGGGCACCACGGGGTTTGGAAATATCAAACGGGGAAGCCAAAGTCCCAAAGTGGGAAGAATCCAGCGGGTGGCCGGTGGGTGGAGGGCCACCCGCCGGCGAAGAACCTCTGGGCAGCGGGTGCCGGGCAGGCAGTCGTCTGCCCGCCGGCTGCCCGCTGCTGGTGGCGTTACCATGGGCAGCGGGTAGGTGGCGGGTCCCCCTACCCCCACCTACCACCCACTGACTCCTTTTCCAAAATATAAGTCCCGGGATCCTCCGTGGAAGCCGAAACCATGCCTAAACACTTTTAAACGCAAATGACGACACCACGTAGAAAATTAACGGATCAAAAGCAAGAATCACATAGAACACAACGTATTATGACTTCTAAACATAATTAACACCCGAACATGTGAATTCCCACCCAAATATACCCAGAATATCCCAATACGAAATTCACGATTCAACCTAGGGCTCTAATCATATTTAAATCATCAAGATCATAGATCATCTTTAATATCAAGAATCATCAAGATTTATCAAGAATATCACCCAATCATCAAGATCCTTTTATCATCATCAAGATCACACATAAAATCATCTCATCAATTATCAAGATCATATCATAATTATCATAGAAGATTTCATATAGAGACAAGCATAAAGAAGGAGCCAAAGAAGTAGATTACAGCAAAGAATATAGGTTTTGTTAAGACATGGTTTACCTCTTAGCCTTAATTAAATTCCTTGGCTATGAAGGGTCTTTCTTTAAGATCTCTTCTTTCTTGATTTCTCCTATGGGGATTCTTTGGAATTCTTGTGTGGTGAAAGTTATTGTGGTGTGAGTTCTAGGTGCCTCCTATGTCTCTATTTATATATCTAAGAGTCCCAATTAGGGTCTAAATGGCATGGGTTTGCTGATTCTATTCCTTATAGGACAAAGGGGTTGGCTTTAGGGATAAGGGTCCATGGACTATGGTGGACCCTTCCTAATTATTTAATGGAATTTAATTCTTTCTTTTGGGTATTTGATTAAATAATTAATTGGTTTAGAGGCCGTAACACGTGGTGTTACAGATATGGTCTCTAAATTCAAGGCGAAATGGACTTCAACTAGGAGGCCAGCTTGTGTACCTGAAGAAACATGACGCAGTTGGGAGGAGTATTGGGATATGCCTGACGTGAAAGTAAATCTGAACAACAACGCAAGAATTGGATGAGTGAGGTGGCAGGACCTGGTACGGGATGTTCTCGACATACCAGAGGATGTATATCAGCTATTGAGCACTATCACAAATTGGTAATACATTTAACTTAAAAATTTATTATTTGTATATATTTTACAAACTAAGTATCATTTTATTGTTTGTGCTTGTTTAACAGCGAGATGAACTTCAAAATGAGCCTAATCTGATTGAGTTCTCTGAGCATATGCACACAAAAAAAGAATGGTATATTCGTTGATGAGAGGTCAAAGAGAATCGCTGTAAGTATAATGTAGCAATCATATATTGTTAAATAGATCAAACTCATATATGCTTTTGTATACATTTATTTTTTTTATATGTTTTTAGTTGTAGGAAGAAATACAAGCACGACATGATGCTGCAACGCAAGAAGCTGAAGGGTTCAACTGAGCCACCAATTATAAACATGTTCCAACTGTATGTGGATATTGTTGGTGGGGTAAAAAACAACGTATTTATGGCTTAGGGACAAAGGCATCCTCATTTATTAACGAGAATAATAACAGTTCATCTGCTACTTCACAAATTCATCAAGATGCAATGAAGGAGATAATGAAACAACAGTTAGAGACCATGCGAGCTGAGATGGAGGCTCAGATGGAGGCAAAACTACAAGCTCAAAGAACTCAAATGTAGGCTCAAATGCTGATTCAAATGCAAGCTCAGATTACAAGTTTGAGGTATGAGTTGTGTCGCAACTGCATGCTATCTACTTCTTTGCCACGACCTCCAACTACTCAAGCTGAACATTCTATTAATTCAAATTATGAAAACATAGGAGATGATTAGATTATGTTTATTAATATATTTGGTATTGTTTTATCGATGTAACATTATACAGTGCTATGGTTTTGTTATTGTTATTGAGTTTGAATGTTTTAATATAATATATTTTAAAATTATATTATTGAAGTACTATATTATAGGTTTAATGCAGGTATGTGATATTAATTAGTGGGTAAATTTTTTTTTTTTTAATTTTTAAAATTTAGCAACGGACAAATATTGTAGTAAATCCGTAGCTAAGTATCTAATAACAATACAGAATGGCAACGAAATAGCGACGGAAAAATCCATTGTTAAATTTAGTGATGGATATTTCTGTCACTAAGCTGTAGCTAAATGAAATCCAATTCAAACAATAAAAAAAAATTAGCCACGACAATTTCGGTCGCTACATTTAGCAACGGACGATAGAGACAGAAATATCCGATGCTATATTTAGCGACAGAAAAGTTCGTCGCTATTCCAATGAAAATTTCATCACAGGATCGTCGTGGTAGGAAACTAGCGACGGATATTTTGTTGGTTTAGAGACGGAATATTCCGTCGTTATTCCCTCACAAATTTCATCATCAAATCCGTCACTTGAAGAAAAATAGCAACGGATTGTTTCGTGTAGCGACGGAAATAAATTGCGTCGCTAGATTTTAGCGACGCGCTTTTTTGTGACAGACGGATTCCATCGCTAAACTCTTTAGCGACGGATTTTCCCTTATTTAGCGATGGAATCGATCCAACGTTATTTCTGCGTTTTTTTTGTAGTGTATGAAGAGCAACTTAATTATCACACGATAACTATGCAGGAGTCGGAGCTTTGAAACCAAACTCATTCAAGAGGTTGTGTTTCAACATCACTTCTCACGTTAATTGTGTCATCGCTCTATATCTAAACTCTACACTCGAATGAGAAACCACATTCTGCTTTTTACTCTTCCACGAAACCAGATTACCTCTAAAGAAAATAAAATATTCTGTTATTGATCTATGATCCTATTTGGATCCTGCCCAATCATCATTAGTGAAAGACTCAATCTTAGTGTGACTATGATTCTTATAAAAGATTCCATATCCTGTGTTCCTTTCAAGTAACTCAAGATGTGCTTTATAGCTGCCCAGTGATCAACAGTTGGGGATGCCATCTACTGGCTCAAAACACTAACTGGGTATGCAATATCTGGACGAGTTACTGTCAAGTATTTTAGCTTCCCAACTAATCTCCTATACCTCTCAGGATCTTTAAACAATTCTCCCTCCTTTGACAATTGCATGTTCGGTATCATGGGAGTTGATAAGTGTCAAAGACACCTAGTTTTAGAGTATCATTTAGGTACATTTTGAGCTAATTATGATCCTTTGTGTACCATGTTTAGGCCATTCAAGCTAAGTTTATGCATTGTGCTATAAAATATCACCACACTTTGTATTTTATGGTTTTTAGGGTAATTTTGGATGAAAACGAGGCAAAGTAGCATGGGACGGAACAAAGCGGGAAAAGAAGACAAGCCGAGGCCAAAACAGGAGGCACAACGCATGTTGTGCCATCCGTTGTGGCGAAGCAGAAAGATCCACGAGTGGCACAACACACGTTGTGACGTGTGTTGTGAAGAAACAGAAAGGTCCACGAGGAACACGACGAACGTCGCAGGATGCGTGGATAGAGAACTTAATCGAACAACGCACAAGGCGTTGTGACCTTGTATGGAAGTTGTGAAGGGAATGCTATTTAAATCATTTGTAGATTCATTTCTACAGTTGAAGAGTTCTTAGCTTTCAGGAGTTTTTCATATTGGTAGAGAGAGTAGAGAGTTAGATTGTAAAGAGAGAAACACATTGATTTAGATAACTCTTTAGATTTCCATTGAAGATCAATTAAAGAAGGAGATTGACAACCTCCTACATCAAGAGATCTTAGCAAGCTTGTAATCTACATTGGTACATTTCTAATTCTACTTTTATATTGCTTTCTTATGTTTGATTTCATGCTTTCAATATTGATTGCTATGCTTGGCTAGATTAGTTAGGGATTGAATTGTCAAGTGATTGATTATGATGCCTATGCGACTTAATTCTTGAATTGGGGATTGAATACTTGCTCTGCTTGAAGTCTTGTTGTTAGGGTTTGATTTGTAAGCATCCTATGGAGCTAGGCCACCTCCTAGGGTTGTGCTAAGCAAGTGATCTAGGCAAGAGATTGCTAGATCACTTGAAGCTTCTAACCTTGACATTTTCTAGCCTCATAATCCACTTTGGTTGGGTAGAAAGGTAGTATAGGCAAGGTGTTTGAGGAAAGGTCAAGGTGACTCCAAGAGCCCGACATAGGGAATTCAAGTGTCTCCTAGACAAATCCTAGTAGTTGAAAGACGAAAGGATAATAACTTCCTCCCTAGGCTTAGCATATGCAATATCCTTTCCCCATGTTAAATGATCCTAGGTGCATCATGATCATCACTAGCAATTTAAACCCTATTTCCTTTATTTGTTAATTTGTTTTAGTTGTTCGTTGTTTGAAACCTACACGACCAAACATATTGCGTGACATCCACTCAATTGTATGCAAACCTCTTTCTTATTATTGACAATGCAAGGCTACTCCGAACGGCCATCCTCTTGAGAACGATAAATCCGGGAGTCATCCCACAAACTTTTGACGTTAACTCTATAAGAGTGAAAGAGTGCTGTAAGGAGTATTGCATGGCTTAGTACCTAGTTTTCCTGTTTTAGAGAGTAAGTCAAGTACATATTTTTGTTGAGATAGTAATCTACATGTTTTACTCCTAATAACGTCAATACCCAGGAAGTACTTCAGTGGTTCCAACTCTTTTGTTTGAAATTAACTGTGAAGAAATAACTTGAGAATGAAATCCCTTCATTTTCACTTCCTGTAATGACAATGTCATCCACGTAGACCACTAATCAGAATTGACTAAATTTCTCAAACCACGCGCATGGACTTTGTTTCAGCCCAGATAACGATCGCCAAAATCAGCATACTTTCCTAGACTCCCAGTGAGTAACAAACGCAGGAAGTTGCTCCATGTAAACCTCTTCATGAAGACTGTAACACCCCGTGTTACAGCCTTCAATCCCGAATTAATTAATTATTTAATTAATTCCGTTCATAATAATTAAAAAGGATTTAATTTGGTTACGATTCTCTTTAATTAATTAATGTGGTCCACCATGGATCGTGGACCTTGCCTAAACTAGAGTCTGAAGCCTATTAGGAATAAAGAGAGTGGACCTTCCACTATTCAGATTCTAATTACGAATCCCAGACCTATTGGGAATAAAGATAGTAGGCCTTTACTACTCAGATTCTAATTAGGGATCCTAGATCTATATACCTGTTAGGAATAGAATATAGGTCTTTACTATTCAGACTCTGATTAGGATTCCTAACTCTATAAATAGGGGATTAGAAAGCAATTAGAACACTTACCACCCATAGTTATATTACACGAAATTATTCCTTGGAGATTCCCCACCGCCAAGCGTAGGGAGATCAAACGGATGGAAATCTTAGAGAAGAACCTTAATAGCCAAGTTAGGATTAATTAAGGCTAAAAGGTAACTCATGTCTCAACAAAACCTATTTTCCTTGCTATATCTTATTCATTGGCTCCTTTGTTATATGATTCTGTGCTTGAGTCTTGATAGAGCTTTGCCTAGGGTTTGTATTGCGTTTATCTTGATGTTTGTGTGTTGATCTTGATGCTCATGTGATAATCTTGATGTTCTTGATACTATGATAAATTATATAAATGATCTTGTATTTTGATTATGTCTAGAGCCCTAGGGTTATAACATGGATTTCGTATTAAGATATTCTTAGTATGTTTGGGTGGGATTTTGCATAATCGGGTGTTGAGTCTAGCCTAGGACTTGTGTTTAGGACTTGCATATAAAGTTCTTTATGTTCTTGTGGTTCCGGATGCTCCTGAACCGTTATATGATTGATGTTAGGTCCTGGCATGTTCAGGAATCGTGTTTGAACGTATTTGTTGTGATTCTTGGTTTAATTCCGTTAATTAAATACGTGGTGTTGTCATTATGTGTTGAATGTGTTTGGACATGGTTTCGGGTTCCTCAAGGGATCACGGGACCATAAAGTTGCCTGTGTATCAGTGGGGGGTAGGTGGGGGGACTGACCACCCGCCACCTATCCGCTGCACACTATACTATTCCAACAGGCAGCCGGCGGGCGGTGGTCTGCCCGCCGGCTACCCGCTGAAATAGTGACCGGACGCCGGCGGGTGGCTGGCGGGTGGTCCTCCATCCGCCACCTACCCGCTGGAATCCCGGCGTGGTTCGTGGTGTTTTTTCCCTATTTGATGTTTCCCCGTGTCCCGTTGTGTCCCGTTGTACCCCGTTTGTTGTGTATGATCTCATTTGGTGTTTTAGGCATCGCTCTAGGGTTTCATGTGTGATACGTGTCGTTGTTGTTGTGTCTTACTTGTTATGTGATTATGTGTTGATTGATTGATGATGATGAGTATCGTGGTCATTGCGCAATGGCCAGTGTGACTGATGATGATAATGATATTGATGAGATAGTGATTGGTGGAAAATAAACTGTTAGCGGTTGGCACCACTTGTGCCCGGTCATTGTACTAAAGGTACAGGCTATAGCGGTGATTGTGCTAAAGGCATACACCCACTTTGACTAGCTTGCCGTTGAGTATTGGGTCAGGTTATAAGTGCTGCGGTGTCATGTTAGAGCTATATGCGCTAACCCCTTGATATTGGCACTAGAGGTGCAGATCATTGAATGGCACTACGGAACCATCTTGATATGTTAGTGGTCGAAAGGTGGGTTCGTCGGTTGGGGCATGTAGTTGCCCGGAGGCATAAGGGGTGGGGATATAAGGGTGGCCTGGATGTATAGGTTGGAACTGATATAAGGACGGAGGGGAGTTATACGGTTGGAACTTGGTATAAAGTTGGAGGATGATTGTGTGCTTTGTTGACTACTTGCTAATTGATTGTATTGAATGCCTTTGTTATTTGCATGCTTATCTGCCTATTATGTCTTGCATTGCATGGTTAGGGTGTCTATTAGTTCATATGATTATTCTTTGATATTGAGTCTGTTAATATGCTTTGAGTTTGGATGTTGGATTTAAACTAGAGTCTCGTAGGTATATATGTATTACAGTTTTGAAATGAGTTTCTTATATCTACCTATATTGTACTTAACGCGTTGGAGTGGGTTACCAGCATTATTCGCTGACGGTTGTTATACCGAATGTTTTTCAAGGACAGTGAGTAGCTTTGGAGTGCGCTAGTGGATTCGTGGACTTAGTTTAGATAGTTCTAGCCTGGATGAGATGGCCTGCGTGCCTTGATTTGTATTTGGGTATTAGTTATGATTTATGCTTTGTTAGTTAGTTTAGCTTGTGCATCTGAGTTCTCCAGCTCAGATGTGGCATAGCACCCTGACTACTGTGTCTAGTTTATGCTCTGTTTGGGAATTAATAAAAGATTAGCATTTATTTGATAGGTTTTAAATATCTTGAAATTTAGGGGTGTTACAGTTGGTAGCAGAGCCTAAGTTCGACCTAAGACAATGCCTTTAGGATAAGACTATAAAGACGTTAGGCTAGAATTTTAAGTGTTTGAGGTCTTTAAGAAAGGACTTTAGGACATTAGGCTTGAACTCTAGGTGTTTAAGTACTTAGGTATAGGAATCTTAAGACACGCGGTGAGACTGTGAGTTTATCCATCATTGTCTGCTTAACTTCTCCTTACTCTATTCTGTGCTTAGCATAAGAGTCCCTTATAATTATCGCATCAAGGTAAGGATGCGAGACCCTAACTTACCATTACAATCGGTGCTGATCCTGTAAACACCCGAACTACGCCAACGAGGAACCAGTCGAGAATCCCCAAGCCTCCTACACCTGGCTCGTTAACCTAGAACCCTCAACGAGGCTTACGCTAGCACTGTCGACCTTCACCGAATCCAACTTCTACAATGGGGAGTTCAGGAATAGATCCGGAAAAGGAGTAACGAAAGTGGGAGACCACCTGTAAAGAGAACTAGAACGCCAATTAAAATACAAGGAAGTGAAGTAACGCATGAACAACGCCTTTGCTTAATCTTTAGTGCGAGTTAAGTATATCATGTTGACTTGTGAACCCCTTGCCTCAGCTTAAAATATCATTCGCCCTTGAATCCCAGCCTCTCAATATTCCTAATTGTTGAAACCCTTACCCCGAGTCCTTGGTTATCCTTGAAAGCAATTAAACACCCGTTATGCCTTTATTTACTCTTTGTTGTATCTAATTCATCCTTAGAAACCAAAAATCTTTATGAGCTTGGAATCATTGCAATTGCTCTAATTCTGCATCCCTCTCTTTCGAACCCTTGCTAAAACCCTACAAGTGAGGAAAACCCCTTGCTTTGTGTAAATAGCGTGAAGGTTGATGCTTATTATGTTGGTGTTAGGATAGTTGCTAAAAAGGACTCGGTTATTTGCTTAAGCATGAAAGTTGGGTTATTTTCCTAATTAATTCATTCATACATCGGCTAAGGGCTTGCACATTATTGCTTAATTATTTGGTCAATATGCATTACTTGAATACTTGTTATTTGGTACTTGTAATGGCGACTTTGTTTGACCGATAATTGCTCACTTTTCTTAATTGTGATCGTTCGATTATTTTGATAGTTAAAACTTACTTATAGCTTGATAAGTACTTGCATGAGTTTGCCTGAGAGTTGTGGGATCGTAGCTTTATTCTTTAGGAGGGGAGGAATGTGATGTGTGATCCTTGAGATATCTTGAACTTTCGTTTAAGTCTCTCGTGTTCCTTGTTTATATCATAATAATGTTATTCCTTGATGTTTACCATATATTCAAGTCCCTTTCGTTGTTCATATGAGTGTGGAATTGTTCGGACTCGAATTTGTGCATTCTTGGGACTTTTCCCGAAGTAATCCCTTCTTCATAGTCACGTTCCAGTGGGACCTTGGCAGGAGGTCGACCTCCCACCACGTGCACACTGCCACATTCCAGTGGGACCTTGGCAGGCGGTCGACCGCCCACCTCGTGCCCACTGGTACGGTATGATGATTTCTTGACTTCTCGTTTTATTGATCCATTGTGCGCTTATATGCCTTCCTTGATGATTCCTTATGTGCTTAATATGCGAATAACAATCTATACTTGAACATGATGGTTGGATTATTTCCTAATTATATATAATTAATAGATAAATACATAGGTACGTAGGAGCATATACATGTACGGTACGTAGTAATCCTTGTTCCCTAACTTAATTACCTAACATCGTCACGAACCCTATTACATGTTGGCCCAATACTATACTCGTAGTTCTAATATATGTATACATAGTTATACATGTATGTGCCAAGTTTTGACCTAGAAGACAATCTGAAAGAAACCGGAGAAATCTGTGAAACCTAAACCAAGTGGTCACTTCAAAACTATTTTTGGAAGAAATCCATCTTGACCACCCCAAACTATTTTAAGACTATCTTTCTAGGCTTTGGTCCATGTTGCATGGTGGACCACATGCTTCCAATTCCTTGTCCAATACTCTTGATCATTAAGATAAGAACCCCCTGAACAAACATTTATACATAAATAGGTATATCCCTACTATTCTAAACATATTCCACTAAACTTCTATTATATATATATATATATATATATATATATATATATATATATCCCAATTATATTCGTTTGCAACACTTACACGCATATTATTATTATTATTATTATTATTATTATTATTATTATTATTATTATTATTATTATTATTATTATTATATCCTAACCCTAATCACTTTGCGTAATCCTAAATAATACATATGTACCCTAGCTATGTGAATCCTATAGGTATCTATAAGTTGACACTTAGCATATCCTAACCCTAAAATATTATTCCGTATAAATTACATTACTCATATATATATATATATATATATATATATATATATATATATATATATATATATATATATATATATATATATACATATCCTGAGATAACCCTAATTCTACATTTCCCCCTCGCATAATCTCTCTGTTGCCACTCCTATCTTCCCTAAATAATTATAAACTTTAGCCTCATCATCAAGTCATCAATTGATTCAGGAATTAGCAATCAAGGGTCTTCAATTAAAAGTTGCTTAGGTATTCTAGGCTTCTAGAGGTAAGATTTATGCCTACCTAAAATTTATTTACTCCGAGATAAAACTGATCTTCCTAAGTGTTTGTGTGATCAAATTCTGTCAAGATCTCTCAAAGATAAATCTTTTGGTGTTTATGAACCTAGGTTATTTTACTCGTAACTATTAAACAATACCTGTATGCAAATTGCATGCTCAAATTGTAGGTGGAGATTTATATTTTCATGGTGTATACATTGTGTGTCAAATCAGATAGTTTGCATGATTGTGTTGAAATACATACTTACACACATTCATGTATATATAAAGCATTGTAGACAACACTGTATGTTATAAGGCATCCCACTATGCATATATACAATATTATTAATTGAAAGCAATTTGCATATACATGCCAATACTTGTATACTTAGTGTGCTATGAACAATCCCGTATAACACCTCGCGTATTCATAGCGTACGAATTAGGCATAAAGTATTCATCTATGAAATCCAGTGAAATATTCCGTATGTACTAAACGTTAGTATTTATGTAAATAACAACTCGTAAGGACCGCCAAGTCATTTCGCAACAAGAATCAATAACCGACTGCATTCCAAGGAGGAAGGAAGCATGCTAAGAGCTTTCGCTACTAGAAGCATCACCAAAAGTGCACTAAAAGCTAAATTTCGGGAAGGACGTGAAG